AGGGGAAGAGGGGAGGGACGAGGGTAAAAGGGATAATTCAGCACATGTGTATGGTGATGGGTTGTAATTAGTATTTGGCTGGTGAACATGATGTAAGCTATGCAGAAATAGAAGTAGAATGACATACAGTTGAAATTTATACAATGTCATAAACCAATGTTACTGCAATAAACAAAAAATTAAAAAATAATAACAATAAGTAAAGAAAGAAAAAAAAGAAAGAAAATAACTCAGACAGATAGACTATTCAATATTAGATTAGGTTATAAGAAACAATCCTTCCAAGATAGGAACAATCGAAGAACCAGGAAATTTCCAGGACTGTATGAATCAAATCTCTCATCTCTCAAGCTGCAGCTCTGATGTGGATATGAACCAAAATAAGAGCCTGATTCTGCTGTTTGAGGAATTATAAAATAAGTTGAATTCATAACTTTGCTAGAAGTTTTAAGTAAAATTTAAGATATTGTTTGGAAAGAGAAACTAGAGAAAACAATGGGTACAAGTGGGTGGATTTGTGTGAATCAGAGTAAACATTCTCCAAACCACACACAGACATCACCACTGGCCAGGCTGTGTGTCATTGCCTATCTGAGGGGCAGCTGGTGTCTCACCTGGAGACACTGTAGTGACTTTACTGAGTGAGACATTCACCTTGAAAGAGGATTCCCACCTATCTCTTGCCCCATCTCTTCCCCTCTCATTAACTCCAGAATGAGATCTAGAGTCAGGTCTCAGGATATCACAGAGAGAAAAATTAAAAGCCTGAATAAGGAGAAGGCTGAGATATTAAAATAATTGTAAGATGTTTCTACTCTTAATTATAAAAGCTTGAAAAATATTGTCCTGTAAGTGCCTTACATTACAGTTTTTGATTGTAGTCTAAGTGCCTGAGATTAAGCTTTTGATGCTGAGGCATCCATTTCAAAAGACAACCATCTTGAATAAACACATTGGCAGCTGTGTGACACAGCTACTGGCCAAACAACCAGATAAGGAATTAGGCTGCTCCACCCATGAAGGTCTCACTTTCAGAAGCCTGAGTAACCTAGACAATTGACCATTTGAGTGACACTACTTCTCTTTTCCTGTGACCTCATTCCCACTTTTATGCTTTAAATTAGCCAATAAAGAGTGAACCCATGTAATTCTGGACATCCCACCCTTGAGCTCTAATAAGGGCAGAGGCCCATGTCCCTGATTTTTTTCTCTGTCTCCTGTCGACCTTGCTGTGTGACCTTTGGGCATGCCTTGTAATGACCAGGACTTGTTAGTATTAAATCTTGTTCCTGAAAGTGCCCTGATGGTTGTTACTGAAGTGCATCCTGTGATTACAGTAAGAACCACAACGGTCAGTCCAGCCACACCATTGTATCCAGCTGAGGAAATGTCTTGGGGGCTGGCTGAGTGATATGGGCCCAGGTGAGTGCCTCAGGCATTCCCAGCTGATAGCATCACTACCAATAGGCTGGGACCAACACAGCACTGGGAGACTACACTATAAGCCAGGTGAATCCAGATTTTATTACTCTTTCTCCATTAACTCTCCTGCCTTCCAGAGATCTAACCTCCCAGCACCTTATCCCAACCCTGAGTTAAAGTTTTCTCCAAAATCCAAGGTTGAGAATTCTTTGCTTAAGTCCCTTGGATCCTTACAACATTGACTTGTAGTTGGGACACAACCTCTGATATCTCTAGAAAATTATTATAGCCCTCTTAACAAGAGGGATAACTTTATTACTTTAATACAAATCCTTTGACAGTACACCCTTTTGCTTCCTGACACTTTTGCCAAAACAATTAGGAATTTCATACTTAGATCACTAATTAAGAGCTGCCATTTAGTCCCTCATTATGAAATGTTTGTTAAATGTAAGGGATATGTTTGTATATATTTCATTCCTCTCCCACTTTCTCTCAAGTTTCCATTCAACGAAAAAGATGACATTATAAATGAGTGTGTGTGCACGTATAACATTTACTTGACAGAAAATGTGTACAGATACACACACATGCACATATACAGACAAAACCTTTCAGCCTTGAGTGTTTTCTTTGGGCACATAAGTATTTCCACACATTTCATTTATTCCTCACAACATCGGTCTGATGTTATGTTTAGTATCCCACGTAATTTTCAGAAATAAGACAACTGAGGTCAGAGATTAAAGTTTTAACAATCACAACATAAAATTATTAAAACTTATTCTGCACCTTCTTGCATTATATACAAATGGAACTATGCACTATGTACTCTTAATTTTTTTTGAGTTTGTACATTTTGACCGCCTTCAACCGTTTCACTCACCCCTACCCCTGCCTCTGCAACCATCAACCTACTCACTGTTCTGTGAGTTCATTTTGTTGTCATTTTAGATTCCACATATAAATGAGATCATACAGTATTTGTCTTTCTCTCTCTGACTCATTTCACTTAGCATAATTCTCTCAAGGTCCATGTACGTTGTCACAAACGGCAAGATTTCCTTCTTTTTTATGGCTGAATAATATTCCATTGTGTGTGTGTATATATATACACATAATGAAATTTTATATATAGTTATCATATTTTCTTTATAAACATATATCATATTTTCTTTATCCATTCATCTGTCATAAGGCACTTAGGTTATTTCCATATCTTGGCTATTGTAAATAATGCTGCAATAAACACACAGGTGCATATATATATTATTTTAAGTTAGTGTTTTCGTTTTCTTCAGGTAAACATCCAGAGGTGGAATTCCTGGATCGTATGGTTATTCTATTTTTAATTGTTAAAAGAATCTTCATATTGTTTTCCATAGTGGTTGCACCACTCCACACTTCCACCAACTGCACAAGGATTTCCTTTTCTTCACAGCCTTGCCAACAGCCATTATTTCTTTTCTTTTTATAAAGCCATTCTAACAGTTGTGAAGTAATGTCTCATTATGGTTTTGATTTGCATTTCCCTGATGATTAGTGACATCAGGCACCTTTTCACACATCCGTTGACCATTTGTATGTCATCTTTGAAAAAATGTCATAATTTTGTGTAGCTCTTTTAATTCAGGAAACTGTACACTTTTAATATGTGCAGTTTATTGTGTGCAATTATACTCCAATAAATTAGTTAAAATTTAAAAATTCTAGTGGTGCATGACTGAGGGTTGGCTCTAGAGCACAGCTAGCTGATTCATACCTGACAGGGGTGGGAGATAAGCCTCATCACCGGGAAGAAAACAGAGTGTCATATATAGATTTAGAAGCAGTGGAATTACATTAAGGCAGTTCATATTTGATAAACTCATTTTTTTCTGTAAATTAGATTAATCTACATATACGAATGGAGTAAACTTGACATATATTGGTTGAAGAGAAGTGTACTACAGCTGCATAGAACAACATGGATGAGACTTAGAAACACGAAGTAGAGAATCACAGCTGACTATAGACTCATGAGGATCCCAGCAGTAATCAGAACAGCTCTCCAAAATAAAAGCAGTATATTTCCATTTGCTTTTAGGATAGCTTGTTATGCAGCAATTGCTAACTGATACAATAACAAAAGCAAACAGAACTGATGGCCCTTATAATAATGTGCTTCTTCTCAGTCTAGGCATTTGTTCTGATATTTGAAGAGAGCATTTATGACTACTCAGTTATTGAAGGTTTTTTCAGATATTTGTACTAAAATGTGACTCCATCGAGGTTCCCTTCATTAAACAGGAGAGGCTGGAATGAGTGGCATGGTTGGGCAAAACTTGTGACCCTGAATCATATGACTGGACAAGAATTCAAGCTCTCTGGTGAGTTATCCTTTGATCGTAAGGATATATATAAATATTATTGATACTAGAAGAGGGGAGATATTTCATTTAGAGTAATGGAAAGAATCATTTGTAGGTAGCACTGGAAGTTTTCATGTAGAAAAAGCAAATAATTCAATAAAAAACCCACAACATGCCAATCAATCCTTTACTCCAATGAAAAACTCTCTTACACATGAATATTAATCTTCCATACTTCAATGAGCAGAGTGTAGCAGAAAAAAGAAGTTTTTACTTAGTAATACAAAGTATAACTTAAAATTTTACTTCGTCATATTTCCGTTTGTCCCCGAATCAAAGATACTAAGTCAATCTATTTATTCAAATTTGTGTTTCTGTGTAGAGTCTATTTGGAGACATACATTTGGTAATTATTTTGCCGGTCACTATGGTAGGCACTGTGGACACAGAGCTGAATAAGAGGACATGATCGTAATGAGGAGAATAAAAATCAGTGACCAGCTATAATACACACTATATGTTAAAATCTACATTATCACGAAGAGCAGTTAAGGTAGTGACAACAATGATGCACTTAAATGTGAAAACCGTGCTCTCAGAGTTTCTCATGTTATAAAATTTTATAAATCGCCTTGGTTGTCAATTGTAGTTATTATTTATATGAGTAATGCAAATCATGACTATTCTTTCAGTAAAATAGAATGAAAATTACCTGGGATAATGTATGTCATTTGAGAAAAATATTATTCCTAAGAAATCCATGTTGCCCAATGAAAAAAAATGAGATTTCCCAAATAGTTCTGATCAAAAGTTGGGAAAAACTTCGTGAAGAAAGAAAAAAGATAAATGGAAAAACTGTCCATATATATGACTGAGCAGATAACTTAACAAAATAAGTTACTTAAGTTGTATGAAAAAGTTGAAGTCAAAGAAATGGACCCTTATGGACATAAATAGAAGGAGGAAGTTCTACTTGCACAATCTGATTTAAAAAAAGCAATTTTGGCTCTGTAGCTTTAGCTCTGCAATCAAGTGCACTTCATCAACCCAAGAGAATTATCCCATTTATAGCTGCCATCCCAAAGAATGTTTTCAGAGCCCTCTTTATGTCTTACTTCCTCAGGCTATAGATAAAGGGGTTCAGCATGGGTGTGACCACGGTGTACATCACTGAGGCTGTTGCACTTGAGTGTGAGCTGTGGCTACTATCAGAGCTAAAGTACACTCCTAGGGGCATAAATAAAATAAGGAGACCACTGAGAGATGAGATGCACAGGTGGAAAATGCTTTATATTTCCCCTGAGCTGATGAGAGTCCATGTATGGTGAAAACTATTATAGAGCATGAGTAAAGGATACCAGTCAGGGGACCAGCACCCAGCAGCACTGCTGTAAAATATATGATCATATTGTTAAGAAAGGTGTCAGAACAGGCAAGCTGGACCACCTGATAGATTTCACAGAAAAATTGAGAGATTTGTGAGTCTACACAGAAGGACAGACCCAACACCATTAAGCTTTGTAACAAGGAATTCAGGACACTTATGATCCAGGACACCAGAACCAGCAGTACACAGAGCCGGGGGTTCATGAGGACTGTGTAGTGCAGGGGGAGGCAGATGGCCACAAGAGAATCATAGGCTATCACAGCCAGGAGAAAGTCATATAATCCTGCAAAGCGTATGTAATAATACATTTGGGTGATACAGCATGCATACGTTATAATTCTGCTCTGCGTCTGGATGTTCTGCAGCATCTTTGGGATGGTGGTGGAGGAGAAACAGATGTCCACAAAGGACAGGTTGGAGAGGAAGAAGTACATGGGTGTGTAGATGTGGGAGTCAAAGATGGAAGGCAGGATGATTAGCAGGTTTCCACACACAGTGATCAGGTACATGGAGAGGAAAAGCCCAGATATGAGGGGCTGCAGTTATGGTTCCTCTGAAAATCCCAGAAGAAATTCTAGAAAATGTGTTTCATTCCTTGATTCCACGTGTTGGAGGTGACTACCACAAATAGAAAAAATACATGACTAACTTTCACACAAGCAAGCATTAGTAATACAGAATAAATGCTATATTTATATTTTAGAATCAATAAATTAATCTCAATATATTGTGCATGGCCTGGTCCCCACTAGGGCATCCCTAGTGCTGTTTCTCTTCAGGAATTCCTTTTCAACTGTCAACTTGTTCCTCCAGCATAATGTATCCTACTGTTTTGTTGAGTATCTTTCATGCATTTGAGGAAGATACATTGAATATAGACCAGGTTCCAACCACTGTTCTGAGAATGGAATGCTGAGAAACAAAAGCCCTTCATCCAATGATGGAGAAAAATATAACCCAGTAAAAATAATAGTATAACTTATCAGCTGGTGACAGATACTATGATGAAAAGGAAAACATGTAGAAAGGAGAAAGTGGATGAGGGATTAGTTTTTATTGGGAGTTGAGGCAAGACCTGCAAACAAGGTGGCATTTTAACAGACACCTGAAAGAAGGAACAGCCAGTGCAAAGGCCCTGAGGAATACGATTGTTTTAGAGAGTCAGGGCTCAAAATTAGCCAGTATGTTGAGGGAAATGAGCAAGAGGCAGAGTGAGGAGATGGTGTCAGAGAATGATGAGGAATGAGGTGGCTTCCTTGCTGCCGCTGAAACCTCAAGACACAGAGAGTCCCTTGTCCACACTAGGTAAACCTTGCACATTATTAATCTGGTTTCAAAGGCATCCTGTGAATTGAAAGGAATCTCCTCCTTAGTACATTCTCTTGATTGAATAATGTCTTCTGTGTTATAAGGGTCACCTTGGAATATATGAATTCAGGTGTCCCTTCTCTGAGGACTGCTTTCAGTTCACAGGGGTCTCACACACACACACACACACACCAGACAGCACACCATGGCCTCCTCTTCTGTGTTACTTGTCAGAGTCTCGCTTCTCCCTGCTTCCCTCACTGTTTAGGATATAAGTGGATACAACTCAAGCTTTCCATAACAAGTGTGTTTCCCCTAAAGAATTTAGAAATGGTACCCAGATATTCCTATTTAAAGCCTCCCATGGACAAATAAACTTGGGGCTCCATCTTGGAATTACCATTTTCTGCCCTTTACTTAAAGAAACATAAACAACCTGTTAAATAAACATAAAAGGGAGAGGAGAATGAAATGAACATGAGGAAGAAAAAAGATCTGTTAAGCTCAGATGATCCTTGAGAGTCTGTGAGAAAGAAAAAGATGCATTGGTTTCTTGTGGCTATCCCAAAATTAATTACATCCCCTTGATGCCCAGCAAAAATAATAGAGAAGAAAAAATACATTTGTCCCAAAGACAAAAGTAGTGATAAATTTATGATATGAGACACCTTACTGATTGAATATCCCAAGTGAAACTGACCAAAGAAAACAAACCAGTAATTCACAAAAGGAAATATTATACAAAATAAACAAAAGTTGGCTATATTTAATATCAAGCAGTAGAAGACTTGTTTTTCCTGTGCCTATTCTACGTTTATTTGACCACTTAGTTTTTATGTGGTTGGGTGGCAGATGAGGTAAGCCGCTTTCTCACTTCTCTTATGTGGCATCTTTTCTTTGTTTTTCCTCTACTTTGGGTTTTGTTGTCTTTTTTGACAAATCTATTGGGCACACTCTAGTCCTGGTTATAGTCATCATCCAACATGCAAAACTCTCCACATACTGTGCTCTATAAGATCCTGCATTCACTGTAACAATTCCACCCTCCTACACTGCGTAACTTTCTTCCTGTAATTTATCCCTGAGCACCTTATGTCACACCAAATTTATTTCATGGCACTCTGACTTCACTATATAATGCAAGATCCAAACAAGCAGGGCTTCACCAGTGTTGTTCACCTTCATATTTTCACAAATGTATGTGAGTACATGTGCACTTGTGTGGGAACAAATTTAAGTAAACAATACATTATGATGTATTTCACATTCATCTGCAAAAGGAATTGCAGAGAGAATGAAACCAGGTCAAATAGGGTGGCTTCAAAGCAAATGTAGTAAAAACAATTGAGTGGAGCATCAAAAACTAACTGAAACAAGATATAAAATAGCAATAATTCAGAGACGTCAACGTGCATCAAAAATTAAATTGGCAAAGGCATATATATAAAAGAATATAATATCTAATGATCCTAGAAATTATTGCAAATGGAAGATGCTCAGTTATTATTTGTTGAATGAATCAGAAATTAGGTCTTACTATATAAGTACATTTCATATATGGTAAGGTTGTATTTCAATATATTAGAAGAGATTGGATTGCTGAAAAATTTGGCAAAATGGATATTGAACTGGAAGACAATGAAATTGATCTCCACTCAGTTGTATTACAAAAAAATCGGGGCTGGCCCCATGGCATAGTGGTTAGGTGCGTGTGCTCTGCTGTTAAGGCCTGGGTTCAGATCCCGGGCGTGCACCAATGCACCGCTTGTCAGGCCATGTTGTGACACTGTCCCATATAAAGTGGAGGAAAGTGGGCAGGGATGTTAGCCCAGGGCCAGTCTTCCTCAGCAAAAAGAGGAGGATTGGCATGGATGTTAGCTCAGGGCTGATTTTCCTCACACAAGCAAAAAAAACTCATAGGGATTACCTACTCACTGTAAGAGCAATCAATGATTTTTAGATGGACATCTAGAAAACTACATATTAAAATCTATTGCCTTAATTAAGGTGAGCCATATCACCTTAATTAAGGCAAGAAAACTCAGAAGTAAGAAGATAGACATATTTAACTAAGTAAAGTGTAAAAGATTTTCATGGCCAAAACATCCCCTAAAAGTCAGCAAAGACAATAATATTTCTTTTTTTTTTGGTGAGGAAGATTAGCCTTGATCTAACATCTGTGCCCATCTTCCTCTATTTTGTGTGTGGGATTCTGCCACAGCATGGCTTGATGAGCAGTGTGTAGGTCTGTACCCAGGACCTGAACCTGTGGATCCCAGGCCACCAAAGCAGAGTGTATGAACTTAGCCATTACACCACCAGGCTAGCCCTGAGACACAATAATTTTAAAAATTCATTTGAAATATTGATAATGGTAGAATAATAGGTATATAATCTATGGGCATATAAAATTAATAGGCAATTCAAAGTGGTGATCAAATATATAAATCTTTGATCAAACTCAGTAACAGTTTAGAAAACAAAAAAAAATCTCTTTCACACTCACCAGGATGGGGAAACCTTAAACAGCTCTCACATTGACTGAGGTTGGAATGGGGTTGAGTAACAATGGGGTACTCTAATTTTTATGATAGAAATGTAGTGTTAAAACTTTGGGGAAACAATCTAAAGACACCTCTAAATATTAAAAGTACTCAGGGTTTCTCAATCTCAGCACTATCAACATTCTGGGCATGATCATTCTCCATGATGTGGTCTGTCTTGTGCATTGTAGGATGTTTAGGGCATCCTTGGCCTCTACCCACCTCTCCCCAGGGTGACAGTCAAACAATTTTCCAAACATTGCTCAGTGTCCCCTGGGGGACAACATAGTTCCTGGTTAGAACAACGGTTTAAACTTAATTCCAAAATATTTTTGTAGCATTGGTATAATAGCAATGTAGAGACCCTTCAAAGTACAAGTAGCACAATTACACCGTGAAATATTATGAAGCCACTGAAATAATAAATCATCATTACGGTAGTTGATTGGAGGTAAGTCCATAAGGTATTATTGAGTAAGAAGGATAAGTGGGGATGAGGGAAAAAAAAAAAAAGACTGCTATGTAAAGATAGAAAAGATATAAAGATATAAAAAAGACTAAAATATAAAGATCATTTATGATGTGCACAGGATTCTATTCATGCATTTTATAAAAGTATACGAATATGCATGTGTGCATGTTATGGAAACAAGTTTATTTTGAAAGTAATAACTTACAGAAACAATGTCAGGGAGAATGAATGAGGTGAAGTACAGTTGTTTCAAAACTACTGTATGTAACAGAATTGAATGAAAATCTACAAATAACATATAAGGACATAAAATACAATAATTTCATAGTATCAACATTGGTCACTAATTCAAGACTAAATTGCCAAAATCTTGGAAATAAAATAATATAAAAAGATATTTTTATATGGGCAGGAAGCAGTATCTAAGTTATAATTTTATCTTACATAAAAATATATGAATTATAATACATTTATGAAGGAAATAGGTTATCTTTAGTCATATGGTAAAAAAAAATTCTTAATGATAAACGCCTTCCAAATGCCTAGGCTGTTGTGAGTTTTAGGAATAGATCTAGTCCAAAAACCCCTAAAGGAAAATAAATAACAGAGATATGAATATAAGTCTGAAATATTTATAAAGAGTGATTTATTAACGGAAGTTTCTACCTTTTAACTAACTTCATCCATTTCACCCACACCCCAAACTTCTAGTTATAAAATAAATAAGTCCTGGGTCTGTAATGTACATCATGTTGACTATACTTGATAATACAGTATTGTACATTTGAAAGTTGCTAAGAGAGTGGATCTTGAAAGTTCTCATCACAAAAAAATTACAACTATGTATGTTGATGGATGTAAACTAGACTTGTGATCATTTTGCAATACATACAAATATCAAATCATTATGTTGTACAAATAAAATTAATATGATGTTATATGTTAATTGTACCTCTTTCTGATAGCCTCTTATATCCATTAGTCTATGCAGGTTCCATCCCTTTCCTCTTCCCCTTTTATGCTTTTGTTATCACAAATTATTCTTTTTTGTGTTGTGAGTTTGTGACCATACTGAGGTGTTTGCAGTTGTTTTTGATGTTTCCTTTCCCTT